CATCATTTGATACCCCGACGTCTTCGACACTCTAGGTTTTCTACAACGCCTCCAAAGCCGCTGTTTCAAGCCTCTTTGTTTTTTCGTGCCATTGGTTATTGCCTGTCTCGGATCAATGACGCATTACTCAGCGATCTGAAACAAGCGCCCAACTTCTATCATGTACAACACTGATGAAAGTAACACTATTCAAGTGAATTGAAAGAAAGTATCTGAGCGTCAGAAATATAATTCAAATGTGTACGTCGAATTTTCAACCTTTTCCGAGTCCTTTGGATACGCTAAGTTAACATGTATTGTAGACACATACTCCGATGTCTTAACCTCACAACGTCGGGGTACCGAAACATGATGAAACCTGGCTGTCCCCGCCAATGTTACATGCCCATGCCTCCTTTTCCTGGTAGACCCGTTCTCCTGGATGGAGTTTATCCTGTGGACTACGATGACTTGTGTAATCTATCTGGTACGTCAAGGTTTTGTTTTATACGCCGAGTACTGAGGAGGTTCAACATCATGGTTATTCCCCTACACTGACAGAAGAGCACGCTAACATCATTATGGACTGCTTTGACCTAAATGGCGAAAGTAATGAGTACACAAATGCCAATATTAGGGTGAAAATATTCGAAATTGCGGTTTTTATGGGTGTTTCGATGAAGGAAAAGTTTAGGGAAGAATATGGCAGGTGGGAGGAAGAGATGGAGCAGGATGTGATTACAATTGAATAGAAGGGATGGAAGTTTTATCTTTTTGCTCAAAATAGGACTCTGCTCTCCTTTCATCACCAATTGCATGTTGTTTTTTTTTGCATTTTTCGCAACGCTTGGATTGTTCAAGCCACTAGTATCATGCGTCCGTAGGCGTCGTGAGGTCCTTCCAGGCTCCTTTCCATTCTGATCGGGTGTCACAGTCGCTCAATGTCTCGCTAACGCAAAAGACCCTTAGTTTGTCCTACCTTTGACATGGCGGAAATGATACTTGCCACTCTATTGATCTTCGCTCTGTTCTTGATACCGCTCGCCATACAATATTTCTTGAATCCTCCTAAGATTCATCCCATCCTCAGCATACCTGCAGAATCTGTCTTCTTAACAAGCGCTTTCTTCCTCCTGAAACCTCCTGTTGCCTCAAGTCTTATCTTCGGTACGCACACTACTTTATCCAACCCAGAATAAAGTCACTCAAGCTCGCATTTCCTACAGAATCCCTACCCCATGCACTCCAAATAGTGTCAATTGTCGCTTTTCTCCTTGCTGGAGACGTCTTGTTCAAGGCTCTCTTATACATAGGAGTCGACCCCCAATCTGAAACCGAAGTGGCACCGACTATAGTCAAGGTTCTTATCATCCATGGAAGAATATTCTGCGGTCACCTCAAGGAACTTGTTTATCATGTACTGGGCTTCCGGCATCTCTTATTTGAGAGCGCTGTAGGTTTCGGTCGGACACTGTGTGGATTAGACAATGAGCTCGATGACTTGGAATTATTGATACATATCAAAAAACCACCATCGTGCACGGTGAGTATCAATGTTTTCCTTACATTCCCATTCTATGCTGTTAGTGTTTGAAAATTAGGTTAGTTAACCGGAAAATAACCGGAAAATAACCGGACCTAACCGCAACACTAACCTAACCGTGGTTAGGGTTAGTTGATTTCGAAAATGGAATAACCAGTTATTTTGCGGTTAACTAACCGTTAAATAACCGGTTATAACCGGTTATAACCAGCCCTATTATACACCTTCAAAACGCACTTGAGAACGTCGAAAACGCTTAAAATTTGACTAAGTTACAGTCAAATCGAGGTCTTTACCCTCCCCCACGTAATCCATATGGACTCCAGTGGACTCCAGTGGACTCCAGTGGATTCCAGTGGATTCCAGTGGCCCTCTTACCAGGCCAGATTGGCTGGCAGAATGCCCAGTCCACTGGAGTCCAGTCCAGTCCAGTCCAGTCCAGTCCAGTGGACTCCCACTGGACTGCCAGCCACTTTCCTGAGTCCAGTCCCAGTCCAGTGGACTATGAGTCCAGTCAGAGTCCAGTGGAGTCCAGTGGATTCCAGTGGATTCCAGTCATTCCAGTATATTATTACTCACTGCGGGCCCTGGCTTATATATCCGCTGGGTTTAACGTGAAAAAATGGGGTAGATATTAATAATAATGCTACCTTTTAACTACCAGATTTACTTGAAAGATATTTAAAATCTTTTATTTCATTTTAGCATTTTTTTTCCATCAGAGTTATTAGGAATTTTGTAGGTGGATAAATGTCGAAGATATGGGAGAAGATATTTCTACAAAAGGCAAGTCTATATCTGCAGCAGATATGTGGAAGATATGAATGACCACGAGGTTAAGAAATTTCCAAATATAGCAGTATTCCCTGAGCTAACACTTGCTGAATTAGGTATACTTGTTGACGAACAGCATCATCGCCAGCGGGGGGCTCTGCTCAACCACCCCATTTGCTAACCCTAGCCCTTTTGCCGATGTTCAGCGATTGACTCTTTGCCGATGTTCAGCGATTGACTCTTTGCTGTCAATCTGCATGCGAATGACGGGTCTGGAGCGTCGAAAGGACAAGTGGGGTTGGAACGACGAGATCAGGAGGCCTAGGATCAACAACAAGACGAAGAACTGCACGACTCAAGCTTCAAAGCTTCACGTCTTAAGTTGTTGCCTTCTACCCCCCTTGCGACTCCACTTACCTTTGCCGCTGCGACTGAAGATAATGGTGCGGATCCGAAACACTAGCCATATCCGAATGACGCTGGCAACCAAATCGTTCATCCTGCCTCTGTGGTTCCTCCATCAGGTGTTGTGGCTCGACTCAGTGAGTTTGCCACAGAGTTGCCGTCGCAGAGCATGCAAGGTCGTCACCAAGTCATCACTCAAAACGAAAAAGGCGAAAACAAAAGTCACTATTCTCTCTCTGTTACCTCAGAACCCTCAACTAACACACTCTACACAGATATCAAGATTCAGAAGTCCCTACAGCACCCAAACATCGTCAATTCTCAAGACTGCTTTGAAGATGATGACAACGTCTACATGACCCTCGAACTATGCCCCCCTGGTTCCGTCATGGACATGCTCCGACGCCGTCGCCGCTTCTCCAAGCCAGAGTCCCGCTTCTTCTTGGTCCAGCTCATCGGTGCCTGCCACTACATGCACGCCCACCAGCTCATCCAACGCGACCTCAAGGCTCGGTGATTTGTTTCCCGATGGGAACATGAACATCAATGTTGGTGACCTTGACCTTGTGGCTTTCATCGAGAACCCTGGGGAGAGGAAGAAGACCATTTGCGGCACCCCAAATTATGTCGCACCCGAGGTATGGCTCGACATCACGAATGGACACAGCTTCGAGGTGAATATGTGATCCATTGGCGTTATCTTGTGCACACTTGCTGTCGGCCGCCGTCCGTTCCAGATCAAGGACGTCAAGGCCATTTACAAGTAAGCCTTCTGGTCTAATGCTTGATTTTCCCATTTTAATGTGTTCAGGCGCATCCGCGGCAACGAATACAAATTTCCCATAGACCGCGTCATCTCTGGGGCAGTCCAACACCTCACTCCACAGATTTTGACCCTCAATCCCTCACAATGTCCAACCCTGCACGAAATTGTTGACCACGCATTCTTCACGCATGGCGCTGTCCCCTCCTACATCCCCTCTGCACACGATGGCACCCCAGACTTTAAACACATATCCGAATTCGTGTCGGACACCAACTTGAAGCACCTGAGAAAAGACGATGCTGTCCTCTGCGTTGGGAGGCATGGCGGCGAGGAAGAGTATCATCACCAGCATCGCACAGCAGGAGAAGGAGTTCCAAAAGGCCGTTCAGCCTGGCTCGCCTATCTCTGCACTGCTCAGCTCTGCGAGGCAGCCTTTCCTCATGGGCAATCCCACTGGTCCCAGTGGTGCGGCTTCCAGTGCGCATGAGAACCAGTTGTTGAGGAAGTTGCAAGCAGTGAAGGAGAGCCCATTGGGCAGGAGGACTGTTACACATGGTCTTGACGGAGGCATTGTGGAAGAAGAGGGCAGATTGCAGAAGAGGAGGATGGAATGGGAGGACGAACACGAAGAGGAGGAAGCGAGGCTGAGGAAGGAGTTGGAGGAGAATCTCCCGGTGACGGCAGGTCGGTGTTTCTCAGCTCCTGCTTGTTATGTCCCCTTGCTGACTTGTTGATAGCCCCTCCGACTGCAGCCCTTCCGCCCCCCAAACCAAATAAATTCGACATAGCTGCTCCCTTGCCTTCGACGCCAAAGCCGCAGGGAAGACCCAACCTTCAAATCTAATGTGAAGCACGATACTTCGTCAGTAGCTTTGGACTCATCGTACTCGAGTCTTGGGAGAGAAGTTTTACTTCTGGTAAGTTGATGCATCCTTCAACATATGAGGGACCACTAAACTTTATTTTAGTATTATACCAAAACGTGGCCCACCATCCTCCAAGCTGTGGCTACAGCAATGCAAGCAGGAGACCCCCACGTTCTTGCAGCGATGGTAGAGAGCTAACCAAAGTTGAAACCGCGATAACTCCCTCCCCCAATCGGCAAGAACCTGCGATGTTTTTCTTCGTGATTTTTGATTTGGTATACAAAGCACTGGCCACCTCCTCTCCAAACTCATCTTCAAGCACGTCGACCCGACAAACCAATGTTATCTCTGGTCTTCAAGCTCTCAAATGTCTGGCGCGACCAGATTACTTGGGGAAAGCGATTATGGAACCTGCCATCTTTGAGGAGTTCATTAGTCTGTGCTATCATATGGCGATGACGGAACCTGCAAATATTCAGGTCGTTTTGGTTGAGGTGATTGCTATCTTTGCTGCATCTCATGGTGCAGGAAACATGTACGTCGTTCGTTCCTACCAAAAATCAAGTGTTGAACTTTGCATCATGTTAGGTCAACAGATGCACTTTCTGCAACCTTTCCTCAGGCGGATTGTTTGAGGATATGTTCACATATTCTGAAGCACACCACATCTACTGCACGTGGGGGGGTCATTCTTAAGTGCCTTTGACTTACCTCCGGATTTTGGAATCAGGTTCTGTTCTTTCTCCATGTTAGAGGGATGAGTTGTAGATCGTATATCTGATTGTATCCGCACTGTCCGCGTTTACGGTCATTGGGCCTTTGATCAGTACATCTCAATGTGAAGATGTCAGAAGCATTGCCATCGTTCTGTACTGCGGTACGCTCTACCCATCATTAGTGTTGCCGAAGTTCAGTTCTGAACCATCAGTTTGGACCGAACTGGCAGAACCGAACGGACAGTTCGGTTACGGTTCTGGTTCTGGTTCGGGCTAGGGTGGTCAGTTCTAGTTCGCAGTTCGGGCTTGAGAGAAATTTCAAGAACTGTATTAGAACCGGTTTGAACTGAACTGAACGTTGACTGAAGGTACATTTTTTCGTTGAGAATTGGCTGAGAAATGCAAGAGAAATGTGGAATAAAGTTGCATTTGTGAGTGTTGAGTTGTGTTTGCATGTCTGTTTCCTATTCAACCAACCCTACTGTCTGCATCCACTCTTCGACTCCCTTAAAACCTTCCAAATTGGATCAAGGAGACGATCAATCCCACTCGTCACACTCACTTTCACATCCCCCGGATGGAGGTACCCTTTTCCCTAAACTCCCGCATCTCCCCAAACGATTCTTGGTAGTGCGATGTTTGTGTGATGTGGCTCCAAATTTCGTGCATGTTCAATGCTGAAGATGGTAGGGGCACGTTATCGCTTACGAAGAGTGGTGAAGGGGAAGAGTTCGAGAGGGAAGGGGGGAAGAGGGCAAAGTAAAGGAAGGAGCGATACGATTCGTATGGTTTGTAGGTGTCGAGGTTACACTCTTTTGTGAGTTGGTTAGTACGGTTGGTATGAGAACCCTTAAACAAACTTGAATTTTGATGTTAGGATGCTGAGGTGAAGACAGACGTTAGTAAGCATTGGAGGTTCTGCCTCGAGCCGACGATTGCTGCATGTAACTGCACGCACGATGACCCAGATTTCATCTTCATCCATCCCCAATGACAATTTTGTCTCAACATGCAGGATAAAGTCGCTCGTTGTCTCTCGCGCCTTTCCCCGACAACATTCGATTCTCTACAATAACTGCGTTTGTTGACTTGCAGTGCACAGTCACCCGAAACCTCGAAAATCATAGTCAATGATGTACCTCCCACTGCCAGGCCTCCAAGCATACGTCAGGTCCACTGTTGAACTTGTCGGGCGTGTCGACGCTGGAGACTTCATGTACAGCAACTTCGGTTGATTGAGTGATGACATCGGCGGCTGTCGAGGTGGAGATTCCAACTTGCTGCCCAGATTTTGCCAGTTCGGCAGTCTGAACCGAGAACTGAACGGAACCGGACGGGGAAGAACGGTTCTTACCAGTTCAGTCCTGTTTGGTCCTCAGTTCTGCCTGGGGGGTCATCAGTTCGGTTCTCAGTTCTAAAAAAGATGAGAAGAACTGGACCGAACTGAACTTCGGCAACACTACCCATCATGCTATTCACAAACCACTCATTCTAGATCTCTTTTCGTCAGACTTACTTAAGGATGAATCGTCCGAAATTGACCTGGTTGGGCTTACTCTACCAGCATTGAAGTCATTGCTAGACTTGCCAACTGCTCCTGGGTCAAACGGACTGGTAGCTACCATTTACATCATGTAAACGTGGCAGTTGCCATGGGCCATCTTGATCAGCTACCACGTTGGAATGAAACAGTTTTTCATTCCTGTTTCATTCCTGTCCATGGCGACGAAATAGAACTGCTTGTGACGAACTGGAATTTCTTTCATTTTGGCTTCATTCATGTCATTGAGCTGCCTCATTTTTGTTTCATTCATTTTGGTGCATGTGTTTCGTTCCATTGTGAGATGGGAGGTGATTATGTAATTGATCAGAACAAAATGTAAGTGCCCTATTTGGCAACACCACTGCTAGCTCTTTGCATATATCTGCCTCAAATCCAAAAATACCCCCATATGGCCCCTCAATCCACTGCAGAAGGGCACAACCCATATCAGGCATCATTTGTATATTATTTCCTTATTTGTACATGTACTACATCATTGAAATAACTGTCCAGAAAGAATGAAATAATAATTGAAAATGAATGAAATATTCAATCCTCTGGCAAGAATGAAACAAAGAATGAAATAATTGTCAGGAATGAATGAAGCAGAATCAAACTTATTCTTTCTGGCAGGAATGAAACATAAGTGAGAATGAAACAGAATGAGGCAAAAGGTGTTTCATTTTCCCTGGAAAAGAATGAAACAAAAAATGAAAAAATCGTCGCAAATGAATGAAACACACCTTTTCTGAAGAAATGAAATAAGTGCCATGAAATGAAATCATTTCATTTCATTCACGGTAGCTGATCAAGATGCCTCACGGCAACTGCCACATTTTCATGATGTAAATGGTACCTACTAATGTCAAACGTGAATGAAGGGTATGACCGATTAGTTCATGCCCTTTATCAGCTTGTTTGCTTCACAGTGATGAGATGCGGTACGCCTTTTCAAGTGCCAAATTAACATATTTACCAATGATGCAAATACAGTGGACGAAGTGGTGCAAAGAAGATCAAGAACAACCTCTTGGCAGGAGTCCTCGTATTGATTGTCATCCCCAGCACAGTGAAGCTCAGCAGATCTGCAGTCGAGCACTGTTGTTTCTTAATATCTCAGAAGTTGCTGGATGTGGATGGTGTGAGCTTCATTCATTCAACACGCCTTTTTGCTTACTACCATGATCCTCCAGACATCATTAACTGCTGCCCACTGCACGAAAACGCTCGTCGCGTCAGCTTCAGCGGGTAACCCGACCCTTCGGCAGTGTGTGCGGCTTTTGATACCTGCCCTGGTCGAATTCATCGCCAAGATGGCACCTCAAGCGCATGAAGGGTCGATAACGGAGCCTCAAGCAGCCGCGATCATTGGGGAGACCTGTAAGGCCTTTTCCATCTCTTCAACACTGTCACCGAAGATCTACGTGGGTGTTTTCTCTCCCTCTTCCTCCCCTTGACTCTCATACATTACAATGCAGGTGCACGTGTCTTGGGTGTCTTATTACCCTCCTGCTCGTCAGCAATGGTGCGAGCACACAAGCACTAAGTGCGCCGATATCTACACAGGCTATGACCCAGCTACTTACGTATGCTATGGCCTCACGTGCAGGGTTCGAAGAGGCTGCTGGGAAGCTGGATCCTGCGATGAGGGAGTTGTTAGAGAAGTCGATTCGGAGAGCTTTGGGTGGTGTGCAGGGGACGCAGGCTCAGCAGGCTGTGAAGTCACAGATATCGCTTCGCTCGTTCTAGTCGTGAGATTCAATATTTTTGATGTCCTTTTTTATGTTCGTCGTGGCAGTAAGATAGATGTGCAATTTGTATGGTTTCAACCCAACGGAAGTTACCCATGGCCAACCTGCAATCTTTGTACACCCTCCTCCACAATTTTCTCATCCTTCTGACTAGCAGGTGTGTCGTACCCACCCTTTATTCCTTCTTCCCTCACCTTCTCAACAGCTTTCACAGGCCCAGACCCCTCCCACCCAGATAAAGCCTGCCTCTTCGCATTCTCCACCCTTAAGAAAAACTCGGGGCTTTATGAAGGCGGGATTAGTTGGCTGTGAGGAAGAAGAGAAAGAAAGAAAGAAGGGGAGGAGTGAAAGAGAGGGAGGGGAGGGAGAGTGTACCGCTTATTACGCCGTTATGCCCTGGAAGACCTTGTGCAAGGTGGATGTGGTTTTGTTTCATTTTTGACAGTCCTTGCTTGGCTTTTTCAAAGATGTCAAAGTTAGCTTCTTTTTTATATGAGAAATCAGGACACACAGATATATTCCCAAGCGGCCAACGTTCGTCTCGTGTACATGTCCAGCTACAGCGATGGATATATCCGATCAGCGGCTGAGAAAACTGGCTTGCAGTGAGGTACAACTCGACTGTCTATTCTTTATCAGCTGGGTTGGGTGCTTCGAGAAAAGGGTGGAACGAACCTTGAGAGAATCTCCTTGATGAGCGTGTATCCATCATACGTTGGGATCTGCCGAATCCGGTGGTAGTGGTTCTGTAGAGGAACCCTCGGGTTTCCAGAACCCTTCCACCTCGCCATGGCGTCGAGACGATGTATCGTCGTCCGCTAAATGCCCTCTCAACGCGTGGGTCGCCTTCGGATGTTGGATGGGATGGGTTGCAGTTGAGAACCTGCAAAAGACGAAGACAAAAAGGTTTGATCAGTATTTCGACACCATATGCATAAAGAAGAACTTACCTAATTTATTTAGAGCCATCCCAGCCCCGCTTTGCATCGACGCAACATATCAACGTCTGCCAATCTCTCTACGACGTGGTCCTCCTGGGACCCCTTTCTGGTTTTCGGTCGACGTTGTGGGCTGGAACATACACACGGTTAGTTTATGAAGGTTTCGCGAAGAGGTCGACGTACCTTCGTCGTTCGATCGCTTCCTTGCGTCGTCGCCTCTCTTCCACCTCTCCAAGGCTCGCCAGGACGTATCGATGTCCGCCAAACACGTTTGGGTCGTCGTGGATGTTCAGCAACATCCGGGTATGTTGTAGCTTTCCAGTAAAGGTGAGTACTACTTGTTTGAGTTCCGAGGCGATCACTCACCTCTTTAAAGGCTGTATACGAAAGTTGCCGCCTTCCGAACATCCTCAAGCATTCGCGACATCGCCATCTACCCCAAGCTACCTCCAGCACGAGTCCGTCGTCAATTTATAACGTTCTACTGTCACATGTTGTAGCTTTCGGATAAAGGTGAGTTGTACGTTGGTTTCAGTTATGAGGTGATTACTTACTCCTTTAAGGTCGATTACTCCCGTTAACGTTGCCCTGCCTGTGCAACAGCGCCAAATACACGCTAGCCACCGTCAACACAAGTCCGTGGTCGAGTTATGCGGAGTCTACTGTCGATTTCAAAGTAAGTCATAACCTTTCGTCGTTATGCGAGTATTCATGAACTCACCTTTGATCTTCAGCGGCACCTATACCCAATACACCCTCCCCAAGGCCCAACACGACGTATCGACGTCCGCCAAACATGTTGGAGACATCGTTAAGCTTCTGCAAATGCGCCGTCCGTTGTAACGTGTGAGTTTTGCGTTCATCATATGGCTGGAAATAGTGTGGTGAGAGAGGATAGCGCAGTGAACAGGTAATGCCAGTGAGGAGGGAGCTCGAGCATAAGTAGAACGAAATCTATGACCTTGTGTTAGTAGAAACAGGTGAAAAGATAATCTAGTACTTAATATGGCGTGAAACTTCCAATCTGACACTTGCTTCAAGTGGCTGGGCGCGTTCCCGTGTCCATGTTGAATGTTGAGCTGGTTGGTTCAAGGTTGCCGTTAGGTGGTCATTGAACGTCGTTACGATCTCGTGAATGAAGCAAGTGGCCGTGGATCACAAAGGAACAAGCACAATCATTCAACAAAATGTCCAGATTACATGAGGCGACGAAGGACTGATGTGGCGACGTGATTAACCAGGAGTGCTAAGAAGGTCAAAGGTATATCGAGCCAAGTTAAGATCAGCCTTGTAAGTCGCATTAGTTCATACATCGAGTGAAAATTGACAGAGCGACAATTCACCTTGCCCCAAACCCACTTTGAGTAGGGTGTCAACGCGATCACTCAGCATGCTGCGTCTTCCCAAGGCAAGCATGCCCAAGATGATGATGGCTCCACGGCACTGCTGTCTCAGAATGTTTTGTTTAGAACCTGCACGACACTATGTAAGGGTAAAGAGCCCCAATGCCAGGTGGACATACTATAGATCTGCCAAAGCCTGGAAATGACATCCTGATGAATCTGCTCCTCTTCACTCATAATATGCATCATCTCCTCCAGACTTGTCAGTTCAGCTAAAGTGGTTTCAACATCTGTGAAACCATCATTATCCCCAGTCAAGGGTGATAAAAGGAATCTCACCCAATAATGTTGCAGTGACTACTGAGCTGCCATTTCCTGGTCTACCAAGGGAGGTTTGGAAGGCTTTGATCAGTGTGAGAGAAATCGCAGCATCCCGAAGCTTGAGGACGCTACCATTCCGAGAAGTCAAAGACAAGTTTGCTTGAAATAGTTTTTCCGCGGAAGGGGGAGGAAGAGAAAACAAAGACGACAAAACGAAGAAGATGAAGATCAAAAAAAGCTCCAAAGAAGATCAAAAAAACAAAAAATATATTCGACCCCGACTCCCACACATTCATAATCCGACTCTTTAGAACATCCGCAGGTGAACAAACAGTAGTAGCCACCGTCCCCGCCACAAAGTTCGCTGTGAAATGACACGGGATGTTATCTTCGAATATGTGCGTTTTGATCAGTTCCGCTTTGGAAAAGTCGTATCTAATGAAGGCATGTTAGCGTTCTCAGTGGATAGCATAGGGGAGAAAAGAAAGAAGAAGAAGGAGGGGGAGAAGAAAGAGGAGGGAAGAAAAGAGAGGAAGGAGGAAGGAGGACTGACGAAGCGAGCTGACCAGCGTTCATCAAGACTGCTCTGAACATGTTTGGACCAACGCTGCAGGCTAGTGAGGATATGCCTTCTTCCCGGACCATCTGGAGATGAAGCGTTTAGTTAGTTAGCTTAGATCGACGAATGAATGAATGAAGCGAGTTAGTCGCATGAATGAAGAGGGTGAATGAGTGATAAGCTCCAGAGCAGATCCCCAAGGGCCAGATGAGTGCCTATGAGGGTGAGCTGGAGAAAATGTTCGAAGCGCACACAAGCATGAATAAGCTCAATTTGAAGAATAAGCCCAGAGCACATACGAGGAAGAGCTCATGAGCCAATACAAATTCAAGCTCAGAACCGACGCAAAGACACTCTGAGAAGAATAAGAGACAAACTCGAAAAAGAAAAGATAACTCATGCGGAAAAGAGCATCAAAGCAATGTTTATAATTGATCTCAGGGAGCTTCGCAAAGTCTCCTCGTAGCTGGACCATCACGATCTCTATTCGTCATTCAGTCCATCAACCCCTCCAATATGAACAGAAGGCAGAAGAGGGGAATTCAAACAAACCTCCTGGGTTTCCAACAAAACCTGCAATATCACCCGCTTAACAAACCGGCGAATCAGCATCGAAAAGGGCAAGAGATGAGGAGGAGAGAGTGCACCCATACTACCAGCCGCAGCCAACTTCCACGCCAGAGCATCCTTCCCACCAAACAACTTCTTGCTCTCGTCGTATGGCCAGAACCGACACATGTAGTAAGACATTGAACGTGTCCATGTTCTTGAGATGCCGTCGAACATCCCTCGTATGCCTGTCACAGTGACATCAGCTCATGTATAATGATAGGGGAGAGGAGAGGGAAGGCTTACCCGCAGTGACCGTTTGAATAGTCTTCTTGATTCTCTCAATCATATGTTTGTCGCCTGATGCTTGGAGGCGGACTTTGCTTAGGACTATATGTGTCTTCTCAGTGCACACCTCTCATCAGGGTGTGAAAGAGGAGGGGGAGCGTACTGTGTGATCAACACCGCTATCGTCGCAGCGACACCTACCAAACATCCAAGTGAGCTATAACATCCAGGGATATATGCGCGAACGTACCACCCAACCAAAAGGGGTAAGGCTTCTTCGCAGGTCCAAACGACGTATCACCATCCACAAAACCAGCGCATGCAGCTGGAATGCCTCATGCAAAGTGCTGAGTGCTTAGAAACAACCACGGCCATCAATATTGCGCGTGATATTCCAATGCGACGTAAGTACTCACCACGAGCCTATCCCAGCTCGTAAATGCAAAACGCCAGCTGTCCGTAGCGTATCTCCTCATTGCCCACAATCCTGCGCCCTTCCGGCGGCGTTCACGCATTGATTTTGAATGTTAAGTCTTTGTGTCACATGGTCGTTACCTTGCTCGCCCTTCTGTCTGTCTGTCGGGTTTGTTGTAGGTAGTAGAACGAAATATGAAGCCTTTGTTAGCTGAAAATTTGTATAAGAGAGAATGTGGTCCTCACGTTGGGTGGAACAGCAGATCTTCTTGCTGGGCACATTCCCGTGTACATTTTGAATGTTGAATGTTGAGCTTTGGTTGCCATTAGGTGGTGTTGTATGCTGCGACAAGGTCGTAGATCATGATGGAAGCAAGTGCCGAGGTAACAATGTCCTGCGTCCAGCATCAACGTGATACATTGGAGTGAAATGTAGCCTTATTAAGCAGGTGTTACATAGATCCGAAAATACTGCTATATTGGGAAGTTTGTTCACCTCGTGTTATTCATATCTTCCACATATCCTCTGTGCAGATATGGATTGCCTTTAGTAGAAATAATCTTCTCCAATATCTTCGATGTTTATCCACCCACGTAATTCTTAATAATTCTGACGGAAAAAAATTGATAAAATGAAATAAAAGATTTTAAATATCTTTCAACTAATTCCGGTAGTTAAAAGGTAGCATTATTATTAATATCTACCTAATTTTTCCACATTAAAACCAATAGATATATAAGCCAGGGCCCGCAGTGACTATTATATATGAATATAACTAAAAAAGCGAAAATAGACTATACAATATACAAGCCATACTTACAATTTTATTGATCAATGAATGGAAGGGTTATAATTTACATATAGTGTGGGTCAGTGATAGCTGCAATAAGGATTCATGATTTTGTTCAGTCTGCGGGGTGAGGTTACGTGACTTATTTGAGGGCGTGCCATATTGTCACATCTTCTATTTGCAGCATGGTCACACTTCTGTGACCATCCCATTCCCTTCCACCACCACCACCACCACCCTTCACCACTCCCCTCCAATGCCGCCCACGCCAACGCCAACGCCGCCCACGCCAACGTGGAAGGACAGGCCAAGAACGAGGGACGGCACCCATGACGTTGCCACGTCATGGGCCAACGGTATGTATGCCCCACCACCCCAATGCCCCGTTCTCACCACGACAGGCACCAGCGGCACGTGACAACGATGACGACACGCGAGGACGACAACGACACGCGAGGACGACAACGACGACTACACACGGGGACGACGACACACGACGACGACACGCGACGACGACGACACATGTTGACGACTACACGCGGGGACGACGACACACGATGATGACATGCGACGACGACGACACACGGTGATGACTACACGCGGGGACGACAACACACGACGACGACGACGACACGCGACAACGACTACATGTGGGGTCGACGACACATGACACAACGACAACAACGACACGCGACAACAACGACAACAATGAACGAGCGCCCACGAAAACCCCACCCCCACCACACCCGAAAAACGACATGCCCATGAAAAACGACAAACACCCACCACCGCCGACGCCAGTGCGGAACGGCGACGAGGGCCAGCAGCACCACCCTTCCCCTCCACTCTCTCCCCCTATCACTACCTCCTCTCTTCACCACTCCCACTCCCCTCCACTCTCTCCCCCCTTCACTCCCTCCCCCCCTTTCTCCCTCCCCCTTTCCTTGCTCCTCTCTCCCCCCTCCCTTTCCTTCCCCCTTCCTTGCTCCCTCCCCCCTCTATTCCTCTCTTCCCCCTCCCTTTCCCTCCCCCCCTCTCTTTCCCTTTCCCTTCCCCCTCCCTCCCCCCTCAACTGGTAGCTACCACTTACATCATGTACTCCTGAGCTGTACCATAGAAGTTCCTGCTTAGCTACCGTGAATGAAATGAAATGAATTTTCATTCATTCATGGCACCTGTTTCATTCTAGATAATTTATCTGTTTCATTCATTCCTGGCGACTGTTTCATTTTTTTATTTCATTCCACCATGGCAACTGTTTCATTCCTTGCTTCATTCTTTGCAGGTGCCTATTTCATTGTTAGAGCTGTGAAAATGATTATGTAATTGATACAAAATATTTAAGTGCCTTATTTGGCAACAGCATGCCTATCTTGTTGTGTATTTGAGCCTCAAATGCAAAAGTACCCCCATATAGCCTCCCACACCACTGCAGTAGGGCACAACACATATCAGGTATAATTGTATATTATTTCCTTATTTAGATGTGTATTAAAACATCGAAATTGTTGCCTGAAAGAATGAAACAAAAATGAAATAACTGCCTGGAAAGAATGAAATAAAAATTCCATGGCAATGAATGAAAAAAAAAAAATGAAACAGTCGCCAGGAATGAATGAAACAGAAGAATGAAGCAAAAAATGAAACAGTTGCCATGGTGGAATGAAATAAAAAAATGAAACAGTCGCCAGGAATGAATGAAACAGAATAAATTTCATTCTTGTCAGTAGAAATGAAGAAAAAAATGAAATGAAATGAAAAGTATTTCATTCTCCATGGCAATGAATTAGAATGACTTGGAATGAAACAGTTGCCGTGAATGAATGAAAATTCATTTCATTTCATTCACAGTAGCTAAGCAGGAACTTCTATGGTACATGCCAGGTTTTACATGATGTAAATGGCAGCTACTAGTGCCCCCTCTCTGTAACATAGAATTTAGTATAATTAATTAATTTAATTAATAAATATACTTCAATTTTATTTTTTGAATTCTGGATTAACTTAGGTCTGTGGCAGTCCAGTCCAGTCCAGTTTTGTGTTGGGAGAGTCCAGTGGAGTCCAGTTTTGTAATTTGCAGTCCAGTCCAGTCCAGATTTGTGCTTGCAGTCCAGTGGAGTCCAGTTTTGTGGATATTGCCAGTATGTAGTGAAGTCCAGTGGAATCCAGTGGAATCCAGTGGAATCCAGTGGAGTCCATGTGGATTATGTGGGGGATGGTAAAGTACTGGTCAAATCTCTAAAATATCACTCAAATGTGTAGACTTTCAAGGATAATTGCATAAATATGTCAATTCTTCACCGATTTTAGCGTTTTTGGGCTCGTTTTAAAGCTAGAATATGCAGAAATAATATCTATCAAGATACATATGAGCATATTTGCCTTGTTATAACTGATTCTTTATTTTTCGGTCCTAACCGGTTAGTAACTGCAAATAACCGACCGTAACCGGTTAGTTGCGGTCCGGTTAGGTTATTTTAGGTTTCGGGACAAAGGCTAACCAGTCTCGGTCTCGGTTAGAGCCCCTGGGCACCCAATAACCGGACCTAACCGGACTTTCGAACACTATATGCTGTACAGCTACTCACTGTTTCTCATAAAGGACGTATCAGCACCACCCCCAATTTCGGATGAAATTAAGGGCTAGGGAAATTTCCTAGTAATAGATTTACTCTTGTTATCTGTCCTCCTGTAGATGACAATGGACTAGGAATGGTAATGGTATTTCGTTTCAGAGTACAGATCTGCGGTGAGTGGTACGAGAGAAAACACACTTAACCTATAATTCACCATGCCAAAAGGCAAGATATCATTGTTTAAGTTAGAACTTTATGGTCTTGAGAAGAACGAATGGCAAGAAGGAAAGCTGATAAGTTTCATGGTCACTCAAAAATTATTTCGAGTGGCACTGATGCGTCCTTCGTCAAAAAATAGTCAATTAGCACAACCCATTAACGAATGCAAAATCTCGACAACTCACGTCATACGACGGTGGGGATAATTAGCACGCGTCTGCGACTCCAAATCTCCATCATCCTCAAGCTCCAATCCAAAACACAAAACGCTATGTCCAAGATCTCCAACACAGACAAGCAAGGTATGTTCAAGGCGCAGCACAAGCCACGCAAGATCCTTGATATAAACACCAAGCTTCTGTCCGTAGACGAAGATAAACTTCGCCAACATTTGTGCCATTGGGCCCTCTTTGGTTTGACACCCACCCCCTGCAAACACGAGGAGCTTGTAATATATGTCTGCGATGAGGAAAAAAGTGAAGATGAACGGTATTTTGCCGATGTATGGCAATTCTGTAGAAAATATGTATATGAGCATGAGTGATTGTGCTTCAGGGTTGGATGAAATAAAGTATAGCTGCATACCGTAGTAAGGACCTGAGGTCGGTTTTAGGAGGAAGAAGATGCCCAACAAGGATGTACATTCGGCTGGTATCCAGAGGAAAGGACGGATCCGGGAAGTGTTGAAGAAATACCCTAGGGAGATCGGTATCAGGACGAGCAGAGCAAGTATCAATGATGTGACCAGTATGTTCATGTTCACGATGTTGGAGTTGGGATGAAGTAGAGTGCTAGACATTCGTGTGGCTATGATCCTAAACAGACTGGAAAGGAGATCACCACAGTGTGTGCGCGAACGCTGCGGCAGGTGCACCATTCTGGGTTAATGTAAAATCACAAACAACACTGGATTGACAGTCAGAGAAACCAATGGATGGTGTGATGGGTATGTAGGGGAAGAGAATAATGACGCTACAAATCGAAGAAAGGGCACGTCGTCAGTCTCGAAAGGGCACATCGCCAGTGTCGTAGCGAATGAAAAGGGGAGAGCACAGAAATGAGGAGGCCAGTGCCATAACCCCCAACAGCTATGTAAGCAATCTTCAACGACTTCACCGCTAGCGGACAGATCATCAAGAACCGTGGACCATGTTCACGAATCACGACGCACCGAACCATGGGCATCGCAAACCTCACATGGGCATTGTGTGTACCCCTCGCGGATTTCTGGATCCGCCATAGTAGTCCATGTATCGATGCTGAACCTACTCCAATTTCGGCGTTAGCATAGGTTAGAAGGGAGAAGCAATTTAAACTTAATTTTTCAATCGTTTTGGCTCTGATGGGCGGGAGGTGGAAAGGGAGGTACGTAGCATGGAATGGATGTTCGCGTAGGTAGTGTCTAGGATGACGAAAAAGCAATATCGTCACGCTGGGAGGGAGGAGTATGGTTATTTTCGACCAAATTCGAGGATTGGGATTGGTAAGTACGATTCTCGCACGATTGCATTCTCCACACACCTATCTGTTACTTGCTCATACACCACACAGCCCCACCCATCTGCTTGTTATTTTCCATTACACCATTCACCTTCCATCGCCATTTCGTCACCTCCCTTTGCACCAAGGCTGACCGACACCTGATCCCGCAAAAGCCTTCCCCTTGTCCCACCATCAAAGCGATGAAGACCCACGCATGATCGAGATGGCCTGACTGAAGCAAGTCCCATGGTAGCGAGTCAGTTAGGTGTGACGAGCGTTGGCTGTGGTGTTGAACACTTTGCGTTTGAGCATGTTGAAATTTGACAGAGTTGGCGGAGCGCTGTCGTTATACTGTCTGTATGCATATGTAAATTTGCCCATCATGTGTGACAGTGGTGTGAAGTCGCCTGTACGAGGGTCGTCGCGTGAAAGATGTGTCTTTTAGGTGAACCCTGAGGGATTCCACATTGCAGTGGATGACTCGGAAGGACGAGGATGTTGTCATGTTATTGCGGTAATAATTGGGATTAAGGAGGGGTAGTCGATGGAATGCTGTTGCGTCCAATATGCAGGCCGAAGAGCTGGAGGTTGGGAAGTAGTCGACGGAGACACATTCCGTGGTGCTGAAGAGACGAGTGGAGTCAATAAGCATTATGCATTAGAACATCAGTTGGCTCACTGGCAATGGGGCTTGACTAGCTTGACCGTCGAATGGTTACCAGATTACTGCCTCAAAGGGTTGCGACGATGAGCCTTGAAGCTTGAAGCTCGATGCATGGTTGATGCCATAGTTCTTGTTTGTTGTTTCGTTACAGGCTTTGGCTTTGAATTCAAACAGTGCCTCATCGCAATCTACTGGCCCAGCAACATTCCACTTGCATTCCACTGGCTTGCTGCCAGCCCGCCTGACCCATAAATTGAACTGGTTGGTATCAAGGGTCCTTAAATCCACTAAAATGAGCCAGATGTAAGTTAAATCAAGGGTGTTTCACCGGAGAAATCCGTGAAATCAACTGGTGCACTCGGGTCGTGCGACTCAGGGCTTGATGTGATGGTGGCAACATTGGGCCGCCCTGGCGTAGATTATCGAATGTAGATAAAACAACCTAATTACTTCTTCTCTTTCTTCTTCCCACCTGTACTGGTGACTGTTTGCGGCCGTGCCAGTGGCCGCTTTTCCATTTCCTTTGGTAACTTCTTCTTTGCTATCTTGTAGTCATCGCTGTTCGGTAAGCCATATTCCTCTCTCGCATCCGCTGTTGCCTTCTCTGTCACCTCCATACAATGCTCCTCCTGTCTCGAGATAAACAGGTCAACAATTAGCTGTGCTGGAGTGTCGGGAAGTTTCCCATTAAAAATGGGGTCCACTGTTTCCCCCGAGTTGCCTATTAACTCGGTGGAATGGTGGGTGAGTATGTGACAGACACAGTTATACTTCCATATTGTGTGAGGTTGTCCAGACACCGAGATCGGACATAGTGGGCAGTTAATCGGTACGTTGGTACATGGTGTGCTCACTGTAGACTGTTTTGCTGGTTTGTAGCTCATCCTCTCGTAATGATATGGGCAGGTTGAGCTGATGATGGGTGCATTATGCTTTCCAAAGGAGAGTTGCGTTCGACATTCTTCAAGCCCACAGAAAGCGCACAGATTCACGCCGACCTATTTAAATTTAGCTTATATTCCATATTTTCGTGAGTAACATACAGTTTTTCGAGGCATCGCGCCGTGGAATGAAGAGAGATGAGAGAAACAATACTGAAAGCGAAAGACCTGCACAATCAACGCTATATACAGCGGTACCAGTGTTACCGCCATCACATCAAGCCCTGAGTCGCACGACCCGAGTGCACCAGTTGATTTCACGGATTTCTCCGGTGAAACACCCTTGAGTTAAATCGACCCAACATAATCACTTATGTTCACTTATTCGTTCAACTTTCACTTATGCCTGATTCTGAATATGACTAGTACCTGTTTCTTGTGTGATTAGAAAAAAAACGTGAAAAGTAAACACAGCTTGAGCTTCAATACTTTACCATCCCCCACATAATCCACATGGACTCCACTGGATTCCACTGGCTTCCACTGGATTCCACTGGACTGGACTGGACTGGACTGCCAATCACAAAACTGGACTCCACTGGACTGCAAGCATAAATCTGGACTGGACTGGACTGGGCTGGACTGCAAATCACAAAACTGGACTCCACTGGACTCTCCCAACACAAAACTGGACTGGACTGGACTGCCACAGACCTAAGTTAATTCAGAATTCCTGAACTTAGATCTCAAAACAAAAAATAAAATTGAAGTATATTTATTAATTAAATTAATTAAATTTACTAGATTCTATGTTACAGAGAGGGGGAGGGAGAAGAAGGAAAAGAAAGGGGAGAGGGAAGAAGGGGGAAGGGAGGAATGGAGGGGGAGGGAGTGGTGTCAGGAAGGGAAAGGGAGGGGGGAGGGATCAAGGAAGGGGGAAGGGAAAGGGAGGGGGGAAGAGAGGAATGGAGGGGGAGGGAGCAAGGAAAGGGGGAGGGGGGAAAGGGGGGAGAGAGTGGGCAGAGGGAGTGGTGAAGAGAGGAGGTAGTGATGGGGGGAGAGAGTGGAGGGGAGGGGTGGTGCTGCTGGGCCCTCGTCGCTGTTCCGTGTTGGCGTTGGCGGTGGTGGGCGCTGTCGCGTATCGTCGTGCTTGCGTGTCGTCGTCGTTGTCGCGCGTCGTCGTTGTCATCGTTGTTGCATCGTTGTTGTCGCGTGTCGTCGTCGTTGTCGTGTGTCGTTGTCGTTGTCGCGTGTCGTCGTTGTCGCGTGCCACTGCTGGGCGCTCGTCGCCGTTCTGCGTTGGCGTTGGCAGTGGTGGGCGCTCGTTCGTTGTTGTTGCGTATCATCGTGCTGGCGTGTCGTCGTTGTCGTTGTCGTCACGTGTCGTTGTCGTCGTTGTGTGTTGTCGTTGTCGTTGTGTGTCATCGTTGTCGTGTTGTCGTTGTCGCGTGTTGTCGTTGTCGCGTGCCACTGGCACCTGTCGTGGTGAGAACTGGGCATTGGGGTGGTGGGCATACGTACCCTTGGCCCATGACGTTGCCACGTCATGGGCGTTGTCCCTTGTTCTTGGCCCGTCATTCCGCGTTGGCGTGGGCGTTGTTGGCGTGGGCGTGGGTGTTGTTGGCGGGGGCATGGGCGTTGTTGGCGTCGGCGGTGTTAGAGGACAGTGGTGGTGGTGGAAGGGAAAGGGATGGTCATGGATGTGTGACCATGCCGCAAACAGGATACGTGACGATATGGCACGCCCTCAAGTAGTCACGTGATCTCACCCCGCAGACTGAACAAAATCATGAATCCTTATTGCAGCTATCACTACCTATACTAATATCTGTAACATTACCTTTTTATTCATTGATCAATAGAATTATAAGTCTGTATAGTCTATTTCGCTTTTTTGTAGTATTAATAATAATAAGTAATAAGCAATAATGCACTGGAATCACTGGAATCCACTGGACTCCAGTGGATTCTGACTGGACTCATAGTCCACTGGACTGGGACTGGACTTTGGCCTGACAAATGGGCCACTGGAATCCACTGGAATCCACATGGATTACGTGGGGGATGGTAAAGACCTCCTTGAGCTTCATTGATTCTAGGTCCTAGGAACAACAACACCAGCGCGGCGAGACCAAGCGAGCTCTGCCTGAATCCAATGAGCGACGTGTTTGTCGGCCTCCCTTAGTGCGTGTTGCACCGACTTCGCCTTTCCACTGCGAGTCTTCCATTCTTCCATTGCTCCTCAATTCAATCCACTGAATTGGGTCAATGTCTCACTGTCTCCCCGACATCGTTGACCTTGACCACCACAATGAGCGTACCTGGACTCTCTGAGGTGAGGGCTTCTGTAGCTTTTGAGACCTGAGAACTGATACCTTTCTAGATTTTGGAACCAGCTTGGTGTGAGGAAAATCTGACCAAGTTTGCACTCACAGAAGGCTTTCAGTTGAACCCCCACGGTGACAACATGGTTCGCGTTGGCGTCGACGTTAGGTATGGACTTCTTTTCATGTATTCCCTCTCAGTTAATTGACACCTCCATGGTAGCGTGTGGATCTGTCAAGCACAAGCCGCCGCCCATTCTCAGGCTGGCGAAAATCCAGGCCTCCGCACCATTTTTTACCGGATTTGCCGCCTCCTCGTTAACTCCATCCTTCCCATCTTCGTCGAGGATGGACCTGGTCGTCCTCGTGTAAAGCATGGAGTGAACGTCAAAGCCGACAAGCTGCACTGGATGGAACACTACATGGAGGATTTTGCGCGAGAAGCTGGGTGCCCCATATATCGTGTGTGTATAGCTTTACATAGTAATTCTACTTGTCCTTCATTGATATACACTCTTGTTCTTAGGCCCCCGCAGAGGCAGAGGCAGAGCTGGCCCAGTTGACTGCACATGGTCTAATTGAGGCCGTCCTTACCACCGACTTCGATGTCTTCCTTTTTGGGGGCACATGCATGATCAAGCTGTGAGTCCTAGTACCCAAATTGCTCTTTATTCACTTAAAATGTGTGCTTCTCAAGCCCGAACGTCAAAGCGGATGGCGACAACATTATATGCTACAACTCAACCGACATCCAGGACCTGGCATCTCTCAACTGTGCCAAGCTAATCTTCATTGTGATTTTGAGCGGCGGTGACTATGATCAGGTACGTTAACAATAACGGTGGATATATATTGTCTAACCAAATAGCAATGTCCTTAGATTGGCCTCCCTGGATGCAGCTCCAAGATTGCTTATCAGCTGGCCCAGGGAGGCCTAGCTGACTCGCTTTTTGAAGCTGTGAACAAACTCACTCAACACGAACTCCAAGACTTCCTCGACGACTGGCGCAAAAAGCTTGCAAACGAGCTACTCTACGACCCACATGGTGTAATGGGTATGAAGCACCCTGCACTAGCCCACAACATCCCCTCGGACTTCCCCAAGCTTGACGTCCTTCGGCTTTACACCCACCCACTTACCTCCTGGTCAGACTATGGCAACAGCCCTGATACGACATCGTGGGGGCTCCACCAGCTGAACCTGGCCAATCTTGCAGTCTTGTGCGAGAAGTCATTTTCGTGGGGATCTGCTGGCATCATCATTCCTCATTTTTGCATGAATGTCTGGCCAGCAGCCATGATGCGGATGCTCCTCAATGTAAGTTTGTTTTGCTTTCTCTTAGGTAGGATATATCTGACTAGTTCTACAGCCCATTGATACTCCCGGATCAGTTGATAGCCGCCTCACGTGCTCTTCTCTGTTTCGTATTGCACGGGAGAAGATTGGTCCAGGTGGGCCAAATTCTGGTGCTATTGTGCCTGGCTTCAGTGTTGAGACAGCAACATTGGCTCTCATCCACAAGACCGTTTCGAACCTCAACGAGGACATGCGTAGGAAGGCCCTTCAGCAACACCGACCTCCCCAGTACTTTTGGATCCCATATACAATTCTCAAGGCTAGGGTTCCCAATCTAACCAATGAATATTATGCACATACACGTAAGAAGAAATCAAAACCTTCCAGGCCACAACGGATTTACACGGACTCTGTACGTATTATGTTTATCAGTCAGCAAGACTTGTAGCTAATGTTTCTTGATAAGGATGATGGCGTTATCATGTCTATGGCTCCTGACACTGGGGCATTGAGCACTCGTGCAAATCCTGCAACAGCCCCCAACTCCACGGCATTGGGCTCTCATATCGGTCCTCTGGCTCAGGACGACGAGCAAGTCATGTCCCCAATGCCTGTGGTGTCGAGATCTCATGCAGATCCTCCTCCCCTTGCTGGCTTGTCTCAGAATCCGCTTGTGGTTGATGAGGGAGATTCGGCACACACTCACGAAGATAATCAGGCAAGGCATGGATTGAAAAGGAAGAGGGTTATGCTCGATTTCATTGATTTAACATAGGCTTTTGAACACGTTGTAGCATAAAATGTATTTTTAGACTATTTAAGCTCAAATGTACTTGTACCTTCATGTCTCCTTGGATCAAGCTGGACCCACAGAATGAAAGGGTGCTTACTCGGGTAACTGGGGACATGGACGGTGAAGTTGTAAGCTGAAACATGGGGTACAGAATTGGTAGCACATCATTGAATTGACCTTACCTCATTCTCGTCCCACTTGACCATGGCTCCAAGGGCACGGACAAAAGCATCTGCGGCAGCTGCCAATATAGCATCTGCCACGTCAAAGGTATCCACCTTGGCTGTAAAGCCAAAACCGCCACGTGCATCAAAAAAGGCTTGAGTTGCTGCAGCATCACTTACGACGCTCCAGAAGACCCGAAACGTGCAGGTGAAGGAAGTAACCTCAGTGAAAAATACTAGTAATGCCTATGAAGGACATCTGGATAGAGGAATCAGGTTTTTGGCAACTCTGGTTGAGGAGAGGCGAAACAATGGCGAGGACATCTGTAGCAAAGGGATCCCAACAGACAAGCTCGAAAAGGCATTTGCCAACCCCCCAAACCATTACTCTGCAATGGCTGTTGAGATGTTCTTAGTCCAGAAGTGCTTTGTGCAGGGCCTCGGCAAAGATACCGCATATGGGATTCAGGGTGCCTTTGCGAAGTACTGGGATACCATGTGAGCATCAAGCTTATTGAATCAGATCAAAACCTGAGGTCTTATCAGTGCCCCCCTAATTCCTGCAGGAATCCGGTCATTCCTGCGGATTCCGGTGGATTCCGGAGGAATGAAATTTGGCAGGGAGGCCTGCTATTTTCATAATTCCGGTGCCTTACCATTCCGGCGGAATTTGGGCATTCCGGAATTGACACCGGAATGTTCCGCAGGATTGGCAGGAACGGAATGTAACGGAATCCGGTCAATTGTTTGTTTATTTTACTTTTGTTACCAAACAAAGGCAACGTTACCAAACAAGGGCAACACCCTTTCCCTTCCACCCACCACCAACCATCCTCTTCCCCGCCACCTCCATTCCCTCCCACGAACCACGTTGCCAACGGCGACAACCACGACGACGCCGCACCACCCAACAACGGCCACGACAACGCGAACACGCTAGGTGGACGACGAGGCGACGTGGCAACAAGGCGAGGAGCCGACGTGGCAACGGGACGACGACGAACGACGACGACAAATGTCGTCGTCCGTCCCAATTGGGATAGCCGCCCAGCGCCCACCATGGCACACAACAGCACCACCCCGCCCACGAAAACACCCCAGCGCCCACGGAACAACGCCCAGCGCCCACAATGGCGCCTTGTCGGCCATCGACAACCACGCGACGACGGACAACGACAACGACGTGGCACCACCACCATCCACGAACGCCCACCACGACGACACGGCAACGCCACGTCACCAACGAAACACGGCACCAACGACGACGACGACCACGGCACCAACGACGACGACCACACCGCGCCCACCACCACCACCACGATCGACAAACAACGACGACGACGACGACACGTCCACGTCCAAACCACGGCCACACGTCGCGGGACACGCGACGACGACAACGCGACGACGACACGCGACGACGACATGCGACGACGACAACGCAACGACACAGGACGACGACACCCCCTTTATCAGTCCCCACCACCCTCCCACCACTCCCCATCATTCCCTCCCCCCTCCATCACTCCCTCCCTCCTCCATCACTCCTCCTCTCCATAACCCCACCACTCTTTCTCCCTCTCTCCACCACTCTTTCCCCCCTCTCTACACCACTCCCTCCCCACCACTCCCTCTCCCCTCTACCACTCCCTCTCCCTCTCCCTCCCCACTACTCCCCCCTCTCCAAATATTTATTTTAAAATAGTATTCAATATTGTAAAATACATTCATGTAGTTCTATTCAATAAATCTATCTGTTATAAATATAAGTAACACAAGGAATTCTGAGTTGTTTAAAAGATTCAGATTGATTCACATGATGGTATTTTCTATGATTTTGTCCAAGGCAGTTTGATTTAAATCCCAGTGCTATTTTGGTCCCATTCCTGCAGGAATCCACAGGAATCCACAGGATTCCTGAGGATTCCTGCAGGAATGGGAGGGGCACTGTAAAGTACTGCAAAACCTGACCACTCAAAAAGGGATGGGGACAAGTACACTGGTGATTATCGATTGAGTGACACGACGGGAGAGGTAACTGGGTGTCCGGGTCGCGCACCTGCCATCATGGCTGTGATCCATGCGGTGAAGGTCAGAGCTGTAGAAAAAGGACATGCAGCATCCCGTAACCATGCCAAGTTGATAATGATTGAAGAGATGAAAAAAATCATAGACTGGTCAGAGAAAATGTGTCCAGATGACCTGCTTACCTTGCCAGTCAAAGATCTCGAAACCTTGATGTTTCGTGCTGAACATGCGCTTATGAGAGCATTCATCAGCTCTGCATTTACGCTATGGACAAGGTATGCTTCACTCAAATTTGAATCTGTGAATTGTTTAGAACACTCGATTGGATTTATAGATGTTTCGAGTTACTTACGCTCCAGGAGCAAGATATTAGAGAGGATTGCGTCGGGCCAGTGCCATACTATATTCCACACTTCAAAATCGTCCTCGAAAACAGGAAAGGATGGCAACACGCGAAAGGATATGAAGGTCCACGTACCGGTAAGCAAATTGGCAGTTGTGACTGAGAAAAAAACCAACTTCTGTCTCATAGGTAACATCTATGATATATATCATCAAGATGTTCACGCAATCGACATGAGTACACACCTTCCAAAATGGCAAGCGTACCTTCAAAAGCTCCAAGAGGTCTTTATTGTCCTCCACTGATTCCTGCCGGAATCCAGCGGAATCCGGGCAATTCCACTATCCACCGTCGTCACCCACCGCTATCCACCTTCATCACCCACCGCTCTCAATGACGACTGCACGTCGCAACGCAGCCAGGACGACACGTGAGCGCCACGTCACACAACAAACGAGTGCCCACGCGATGAACCAAGCACCACCGCCGTCTACGTTCATCGCCCACCACCCAATGACAACTACACCACCCCAACATGAGGCCCACCACGTCAACGGACGCCCACGCCCACACCAACGATGACGCGCATGACGACGTCAACGGACATGCACGCCCACGCCAACAACGACGTGCACGACCACGTCGATGGACCACCACCACGTCAACAGACAATGACAATGCCAATGGACGATGACGACGCCAACAGATGACAACGATGCCAACGGATGACAACGCCAACAGCCGACAACGACAACGCCGCCAACAGACGACGTCGACGATGCCAACGGACAGACGAGCGTGTCCTGCTCCACCACGTACACATGGCAACGAGTGTTGTCCCTCCCCCTTTTCTTTGCCTCCCCCCTTCCTCCTTTCCTTTTCCCTTCCCCTGTCCCTCCCCATTTCCATGTACCCCTTTCCTTTCTCCTCCCTCTTTCTCTGTCTGTCCCTCCTCATTTCCCTGTCCCTTCCCCCTT